GTGCAAATGATAATATATTTGTTCTTTTTTGAGACTGGAAATGGACCAATCAAGTCAATCCCTATTTTATTGAAAGCATCATTCACTACAATTGATTTTAAAGGAGCTTCTAATGTTCCACTTCCTCTTTTGTCAAGTTGACAAATTAAACAACTTTTAACATAATTCATAATATCTCGGGTCATGTGTGGCCACCAATAGTTCTGCTTAATTTTATTGTAAGTTGAAAACATTCCAGGATGTCCTGATAAAATTGAATCATGATATTCATTAAGAACTTTTGAAATTAAACTTTTGGGTAAAACAATGTTCCATGTTTCACCGTATTGATTATTAGTTAATCGATACAAAATTCCATTTTGGATTCGGAATTTTTCCAATCGTTTTCTTTCTTTTTGATTTAGTGTAGCGTAAGTATCAAGTAATTCAAGGATTTTAACTATGCTGTTGTCCTGACGTTGTTGTTCGATCAAATCAATCTCTTCTTGAATAGATTGTAAAACTAGCAAAGAAAATAATTCTTCACATTCATCTTTTGCATTATCTAAAACGTTATCATCTACTGGATAGCGGGACAGACAATCAGCATCTTTATGCTTTGTCCCTGATTTATACTGGACAGTAAAATCAAAAGATTGTAATGCCATAGCATAACGTTGAAGTCGACTTGGTAATTGTTTTTTCGAATGAATGTGACAAAGGGCACAATGGTCTGTTACTACCACAAAATGAATGCCTTCTAAATAAACTCTAAATTTTTGGACTGCCCAAACTATGGCTAAACATTCTTTATCGGACACAGGATAATTCAATTCAGCTCCTCTCAGTAGTCTACTAGCATAGCAAATCGGATGAAAACCGTTGTCATCCTTTTGCAGCAAGATAGCTCCTAGTCCATAGCCTGAAGCATCCACTCTCAATTGAGTCTCTTTTATTGGATCGTAATGAGCTAAAACTGGAGGTGTAGTTAGTTTCAATTTTAACTGATTAAAAGCTTCTTCTTGTTCTTGACCCCATTCAAACGGTAAATCTTTTCGAGTTAGGTTTGTCAATGGTCTCGCTATCTCTGCAAAGTCTTTGATGAATCTTCTGTAATAAGAACAAAGAGCTACAAAGGATTTAATGTCCCTAACTGTATGTGGAGTTGGAAAATGTTGCACTTTCCTTATTTTCTCTGGGTCTACTTCTTGACCTTGTTCGCTTACAACGTGTCCTAAATATAAAATCTTTCTTTTAAAGAAAGAGCACTTATTTGGTTTAAGAGTAAGTCCAGCATCCTTTAATCTCTGAAAAATGATTTCACAACGGTTTAAATGTTCATCTTCTGTCTTTGAGAAAATTAGTAAATCGTCAATAAATATTAAGCAAGTATTGTAGATCAATCCACTTAATACAATACTCATCATTCGCATAAAAGAAGCGGGACCATTTGCTAGTCCGAATGGTAATCGAGTGTACTCATAAAGACCACTAGGTGTGACAAACGCTGTTTTCTGTTGATCTAGCGGATCCATCGCCATTTGATGATAACCTGATCTTAAATCAAGTAAGGAAAAATATTTCATGCCTTGCAAACTATCTAAGTAATCTTGAATATTAGGCAAAGGAAACTTATCCTTCACTGTTATTTCATTCAACTTTCGATAATCAACACAAAGACGGACTTCATCAGTCCCTTTTTTAGCAACCAGTACAATAGGAGAGGACCATGGAGAACATGAAGGGATAACAATACCATCGTCCATTAGTTCATTAATACTTTTTTCTGCAATCAATCTTTTTTGTTCAGACATTCTATAAGGCTTTTGAGAAATAGGTGGATGATTTCCAGTTTCTATTCGATGTGTGTAAACTCGACTAAACCCTAATTCCTCAGATGTAGCTGCAAAGACTACTCTGTAATTTGAAATCAAATCATTGAGTTGTCGTAGAGTTTCCTTTTCTAAATCTTCATTGACCTCTAATTTTAATTCAGAAATCATATTCGAGATTAAAAAGGAATTCGTGTTTTCTTCCACTAAAATTTCATCCCCAAAATTTGTTAAGAAAGAAGAATCACTTATCTCTGATGAAAATGTATCAGTTGTTATTGCATTGTTCGATTCAAGAGAATCAAGTGACTTTTCCCAGTTTTCAAATTTGTTGAACTTTAATTTTGGATTTGATGGAAATTTTATTTGTTTTTCTCCGCAATCTATTCGGAATTTTCCAACCTCTAAAATATTCATTCCCATGACGAACTTAATGTCAGCAGGTAAATAGTCTACAACAATAACTGGAGTCTTTATCTCCATTGATTTTGAACGACATTTGACTGTTATCTTGATGTTAGATTCACCTAAAACTTTTAGCGGAGTATTTCCTGCTGTTAAATGAATTGGGCCTCGATATCTGTGATAATCTAACTGTAGTTTATACACTAATCTCTGTGTAATTATTGAAACTTCTGCCCCTGTATCTACTAGAGACATTACGTTTTTTCCTTTTATTTCGATTTCAGTAAAAATCAATTTGGATCTTTTGCTTTTTGAAAGGTTGAAGATGACTGCACCTACTAAATTTGGTAAATCTTCTTCACTGCCATTAACTTCAGTGTAAACGGTTTTTACTACTTTGGTGCGTTTTTCTGGAGACTTGGATCTTGTTTTTCTAGTTGGGCTAGGAGTTCGTGATCTAGGCCTACCTCGTGGTCTACGCACAGGACTTGGAGTTTCTGATTGAGACCTAACTGGTCTTGGACTGGGTGATCTGTATCTCCTTGGAGGTGTTCTTTGTCTACTTGGTCTGTTTGACCTTGGAGGAGATCGACTCAAGTCTCTATTTGATTGGGACTGTGAATAGTTTGTTTCATTATCATTTCTTCTCCAATTATTATTTGTTGACGAGTTTGGATACCAATTTACCTGTTTCGGTGTCGTACTATATTGATTACAGTTCACTTGAACATGACCTTCTTGTCCACATTTATAGCATCGTGGAATAGTTCTAGGAGTAAATTGTCTGGATCTCTCTTCAGTTCGGTTACTGAGTCTTGGATGAACATACGTACGTGGTGGTCTATTTGCATATCTATTTCGTGCTTCTCGCACTGGTGGCTGATACATTTGACTTTGATCCATAGATCGTCTTCGCATATCATGTTGGAAATTTAAGCAATCTAATCTTTCTGTTATTTCATTCAATTGTTTAGATAATGAACTGATTTTGTCTTTAACTAACAATTCTTTTTCATCAGAATCTCCTAAATCACCGTTCCTAGATAATAATGATCTCTCAGCTAAGGTAACTTTGGATATAAAGTCAGTATCTTTGTCTGCAGTCAATAAATCTAAACGAGTTCTTATGTTTGAATTTAATCCTCTATCAATGAAACTATTGATGATATCTTCTTTCAACTCAGGATATATTCTTTTACACAGATCCTTTACTTCATAAGAATAAGCAATAGCTGACTGATCTGGCCTTTGTTTCTTTTCGTTCAATTCTTTGATTAGAGACTTTCTATAACCTGCCGGACTCAATCCAGACACAAATTTCAATTTAAAATCTTCAAAAGTCTTAGGAATTTCATTTTCTTTCAATGGTTTGATACAACATCGATACCAACGTGAAGCTGTACCAGTTAAATAAGCAGGTATGGCTTTCAATTTGGTATCTTCATCCCATTCAAGAGCAGCAGCGGCAGATTCAAAATGATCTAACCAGTCTAAAACATCTTCACCGTCAGCAGAAAAATTTGGTATATGGATTAATTGTTGCATAGTTGAATTTGACTTAGTCTTTTTAGTGGTAAGCCCCAACACCGGGGATATATTTGTCTCAGTCATTTGTGTTTTAAGGAGACCGATGAGTTAGCTCGTAAAGTTGGATTAAAAGATAGATAAAGTAAACTCCAACGATGAAAAAAGGCGACATTAAACAGATTAAGATAAGAATATTGACTGTAGAATTTTCACAACTGTATCCCATAATTTCTTTACAATTGTCTTCAATTCTCTCATTTTCATTTGAATCGCTGTAATCTCTTGGGTGGTTATGTTTAATAATTGCCATAATACAATCATAATTATACTAACATAGACAATGAGCATAAGTGATTTGCACATGATAAACTCATAACTTTACGTCTTCTTCTAGTTATTAACAACAGTCAATGGATACTTAATCAAGTCAATGAACACAGAAAAGCTATGAATCTCAACGAATTCAAATGTATCTAACTCTAATACTTAAACTAATACTTATCTTGTTTTACCGAAAACCAATCTCAGCTTTACAGGAATCGAATCTCAGTTGAATCTCAGTTGAATCTCAGTTGAATCTCAGTTGAATCTCCAGTTGAATCTCAAAGGAGTCTAAGTTGAATTTCCAGTTGAATCTCAGTTCGTACAATCAAAGTTTTGAGTTAAATGTAAAGTTGAATCTCAGACAAGGCAACACTCGGAGCACAGAATCTCAGTAAGCAAACCAAATCTCGGTGGAACCTCCAAAATTTGTAGAGTTACAATTGGATCAATTGTTGAGTTGATTTAAGATGAAGGTAAACTTAAAATTGACACAGTTGTTACATAAAATCTACTTTATTTTCACTATGATTATCAACTAAGTTGGTGGTTAGTTTTATGTACATTGAGAATTCATTTCCATTCAATTCTTATACCCTTTTTCATCTAACTTTTCTCTCCTTCCAATCCTTATTTTCTTCATCTTTTCCTCGTTCATTCGCTCATTCCTCGTGGATTTCCTGTCAGTCTTTTCTAGCTCTTTTTTTTCAACAAAATCAAAAATTAGTTCAGTAACTCTACACTTCAATTGGAAATTAAGTTATATTAAGTTAATTACTGTTATGTTATATTTAGAGTACATAATTTAATATACAATCCATCCTGATAATTGGTATTTGAATAATAATCTTGTACATATAAATCTAACGAAATCTCTGCAGAGATATTATTCGTAAAAATACTGTTATAAATATTGGAACAGATTCTCTCGTATGTACAATAACAATAAGAAGTATATTATGATCAAACAAACTGAGAATTACTGTAAAAAATCAAAATCAATATGCTTTTTTGCTTTCGTTTGAATTTCCCTCTCACAATTGTCAATCAAAAGTAACCAGCAGACCAGCACTGTTTTCGTTTCTATTCTTTTGTTTAATTCACTCTATTTTACTAGACATTGATAGCTCTAAATTTCAAAGGTTTATTGATTTGATTCTTGAAGTGCGATATTCTATCGTAAGTCACGTCTGTCTGAGTTGGTGTAAACGAGTGAATTAAACATAGCATCTAACTGTGAGTTAGTTCATTTTGTGTGTTTTGATACCAATTGACTCGAGGTATCTACCGGTTAAGCTGGTTTCAATACAATGGATATTCAAATTGTTGATGGTTCATCGCAAGACTCAAATAATGTTATAACTTTGGAGGACGGAGATGATTGTGAATCCACCAAAATGGAGGAACCAGATGAGTTTACTTTAATAACATGGAATATTGATGGATTATCTGATAAGAATCTCAGCATAAGGACCAAAGGAGCCTGTGACATTGTCAATAAAATTAAAACTGATGTGGTTTTCTTTCAAGAAGTTGTCCCTGAGAGTGAATCTATAATTTCAAGAATGCTGACCGATTACAAATTGATATATGGAAGAACCGGTGATCAGTATATTGGAGAATATTATACTGTTACTTGTCTTCGCGAGAAGACTGTCAAACACCTTGATCACAAAATAATTGATTTTGAATACACAGATATGGGCAGGAATATCATTGATGTCAATGTGAGTCCTCTGGCTACTACAGAAATTCTTATTAATAATAGCAGTAACTCTGAATGATATTGATTAGTTGATATTTTCGTTTATTTTTTTGCCAGGCGATAATCAGCGGGACTAAATTACGATTCCTGAATACTCACCTAGAAAGCACGCGAGAAGGAGCCATCAATCGTCAGAGACAATTACAAAAATGTTTCCAACTCGTAAATTCATCTCCTCAAGATGTTTCGGTTTTATTTGGAGGGGACTTAAACTTACGCGATACTGAGGTACCAGATTCTTAATTTTTTGCCCAATTCAAGATTATCGCTTTTCTAATCATTATTTGACTTGATTTTCATAGGTCACTAGCTTAGGAGGTCCTAACTCAAAAATTAAAGATGTATGGCAGTTAACTGGATCACGTAAAGAATGTCAATTTACTTGGGATATGACACGAAATGATAACTTGAAACTCGAAGCCATGGGAAGAAACGGTTTCAAACCTCGTTTTCGTTTTGATCGACTATACTTCAGGGATTCCATTCCGAGCGAAATAGCTCCTGAATACTTTGGTCTGATTGGTATTGAACGCTTGAAGCCTCATGTTTGTTTTCCAAGCGATCATTGGGGAATTTTAGCAGCTTTCAAGTTTCTTAAGTAAACTCAGATATCTCAGATAGACTGGATCTCAAACTAAACTTTGATGAATATTAAAATTTATATATTTTCTGTGTTTCTCCAAACAACTTTTATAGATTATTCAATTTGTATCATTTTCATATATAATTTCCATATCGAAAACTTATGAAATTAAAATTGTTTTAAATACATTAAACTTGTCTTTGCTGTTTTTATTTCTAAATTTTCTTTGCAAATGTTTGATTTCTGATGATGATCTCAGTTGTACAAGAAATTGAGAGATTATTTTACTGAAAATGGATTTTCCAAAAATTTAGAAGCCAATAATTATTGTGAAGAGAGTAAAATTTGAAAATGAGTTTTAATAAAATGCAGCTAACAGGATATTTAACTCATCTCGGAATCTTAATTCAACAATAATGCTTAAAATATTACTTTTTTCATTTTAAAATCCACTTATTTTATATTTTTGACCTCATTGTTAGCAAAATTGTGATCACAGCTTTGCCTTAATGAACATGCTACTTCAACCATTGAGATGAAAATCGCTTTGAGCAATTTTAACCAATCCTTTCTGTTTGAATCTAATTTTCTCAATGATTGTGTCAAAAAATTAATAGATTTTTCGTCATTGTAATTTCCATCCAACGATTAAGCTCTTCAAATCCATTAACAAACCTGTAATACTTTAGTACTTTTCCAATTTGAACCTTTTCGAGAGGAAGAAAAAGGAAACAAACAGTTGATTTGATTTTTGCAATTCACTGACTATTGAAGGGATTGTTGAGAAATGAATTTGGTAACACCGATTAGTAATGTGTAAATATCAATGTACCAGTAGAGTTATCATGACCATCTACAAGTTTGTAAACAGTTTTGTTTGAAGGGCAAAAAAGGCTGGAAACTGGAAGGTAAAAAAGACTGGACGGTTGAAATGGTCCGTTGAAGAGTCCACTTGAAGTCCATTGGATGGAAACATTAAACAAAACAAAACTGGCTACCTGGATCAACTTGATAAGCTTTACTCGACAATCAATCTTGATCAATGAATGTACTCCTTTTTTTTGTAGCTTCTTATCACCGAATCATTGAATTGTTCCTCAAGCCTTTTAACACACTCAAACTTGATTTTATTCCATGATATTAGTGATTGATTTGACTCCTTTTATTATTGTTATATACATTTCTATCAAAATCAAGTCTAGTGTCCAATTGAAGATGAAGAAGGAACAAGAGTGAAAGAAATGAAAGAGTCCAATGCGATCATCCAATATATTATAATAATATACAGTAAAACTCTTGAGCAACTCAAAGGGAATTGTCTTAATTGTTCACTATTTGATAAGAGGAAACAAACCCGGGGCAAGATTTTTTCAAGTGATTTCATCTCCTATGAGAAGGCCACTTAAAGGACATTCACAAAAATATCATTCATGATTAGTTGAAAAGCTGAACCTAAAGAAGAAGAAGAAGAAGAAAAGTAAAAAGAATAAGAAAGGAGAAGCAAAAATCATTGGAGTGTTTTTACCTTTAAAACCACAAAAACATGTTTACCAATTGATGATAAGTCCAGAAGAAAGATGAAAAGAGATGAAAAGAAGAAAAGGGTAGTTTTCTTCACCTTCTGACTTTCACGGGTTACCTGCATCATCAAATTGTCACCAAAGCAAATGTTTCCTTGATCATCATCAGGAGCATCGATGATCCATCATATCATTCATTTCACTTCGCATTGTAGTCACAATCCATAGGAAGAGATAAAAAAAATAATATTCATCTTTTTTTTCCTGGTGACTTTGCATTGTTAATTTTATTCACCCAAACAATCAACTCATCTTCTTGATCGTCTTCATCTTCTTTATCCTTAAATCAACAGGATTCAACAATCAATGGCATTTATTTATTGTCAATTTACCTTGTTTCCCGTTTTCATTTTGCTTAAGCTTACTTCCTACCAAAGTATTGTAGCATTAAAAACTGATAGGCTCAAGTGATGAGCTTTGTTTTCAATCTCAATGTTTAGACCAATTTTATTTGATTGTAAAACTTCTGAAAAACATCTCCTAGAAGATTTTAATACATGAATTCATGATAAATACATAATTATCTTTTTCCATTTAACTTGTGTATAAAAAAAGAAACCGGCAATTACTCAAACTATTTCATTTTTATGGCATTGTCATAATTCAGCAACATTCATCAGTAAAACTTTGTCATTTAAATGATGGATAAAAGCGATCTTTTTTCTTCACATTCTGTTCAAGTTTTCGAGTATCATTGCCATTGTATTCATTAGGAGCGGTAGTTGGACACACTCCTTCATGTACGGCCTTTACTTCCAACATTGGGTGACCTGGGCTTGGCTAGACATCGTATTTTAGTGTAACTATGGAGCTCGATTCGTATTTTTCTCTTTTTCATTGATTCCTTATTTTAATGTCTGGGGAAAGATTAATTCTCAAAATGAAATGAATTGAAAACGTTGGACCAAACTAAAACCGGTTATCTGGACCAAGTTGACCAAGCTTCCATTGATAAGTTAGTTTACTTTCGCAGGTTACCATTATCAAATTATCACCGGGAAAATGGTCCCTTACAGTGAAGATGATCATTATTAGCAACACCAGCTTCGATGATCCATCATACCTTTCATTTAGCTTTTTATTGTAATGAAAATCCATAGGAAGAGATAAAATATAATATTCATCTTTCTTTTTCCTGGTGACTTTGCATTGTTAATGTTATTCGTCCAAACAATCAGCTCGTCTTCATCTTCTGCTTTCTTGGACCAACAGGATTCACCAGTCATTGTCAATTTACCTTGTTTCCCGTTTTCATTTTACTTGAGCTTATTTTTTGTTTGCCTAAAAGTAGTATTAATAAAAAAATACATCAGCATTAGCATCGGCGCTATCAACAAGTGGGAAAAGTAAACTTAGGATATTCGTGTTTACTCTTCATTCTCATTCTCATCTTCCATATTATCATAGTTATTATCAATAAACCTGATAAATATTAACAAATTTTACTTAACCTTCTTTCATCTGAAATTTATTTTGCATAAGCGACCTTTTCACCACCTTTATAATAAATTACTATCTGTTGAGTTTGGGGAAAAGGTTGAATCGCTTAGGTTTCCTTTATCAAATACACATTGGTAGGAATTAAGAATAAGATATTTTTGGAAATATCAAGTGAGAAAAGAATTAGATTAAACTAGAATCAAATAAACTAGCTCGTCAGGTTGGGACCAACAATTGACAAAACACTAACTTGACATTCAGTAAATTTAATGCTGAAACCAATTTAATGTTGAATATTTTGTGTTTATGTTGCCCTCAAATAGCAAACAACAGATTCATTATTATTATATTGAGTTACCAATGGATTGTTATAAAGTCAAAACTGATTTATTCGCCATTCTTGAATGCCATTTTAATCTGATCACAATATTGTTATACCAAAATAAAAAATAGATCGATACTATCTCCTTCAGTAGCGCAAAAAAGTGGACTCCAAAATACTATCAGGTTGCTGTAATCAGAGAGGCTATACAAGACCAAGAAAGAAAAGAAATATTAATAATATAATAGTTATCAAAATGAAAATTTTACATTGCAAATGAATAACTCCAAGTATAATAATACACATGTAATTCAAATCTAGGTAACATGTTCAACTGAATAACAACAACAACAATCAACAGATTACTGCATCATCCGTTTTTCAATGGAAATTTGATCATCAACAGTTTATAAAAAAGTGCTTCAAGACACTTACATTCAAATAAATCTTCATAGTTAATTAAGAGAGCTTAATAATCTGTCTGGATGCAAAGCTAACTCATTTCCAAGAATTGTTGATTTTTATGCTTCTCTCGATATTTTCCCACTAACATCAATGTAGATACAGTTATCTATTGCAAGTTGATTGCTCAAAATAATCATAAACAGGGTGGAAGATTGAAAGTTTAGTAAGAACTGGAAGCAAGATCAATAGCATATTCAGTCCGACGTCGCTAACATGCTCAATGGTCCAACAAAAGAAATGTTTCAACATTCAAAATTTTAAAACACTTGAAATTACGCGTCTCTGTGCACCTAAGCAAAAGGAGAAAAGAGAAAGATATTCAATTAATTTGGAAGTAAAATTTTTGTTCAAAAGAGACTGAACAAGAATAGAGGAAAAAATGAGAAAGAAAAGTCTTGTAAATAGTTTTCTTTAAGACATTTTCTTTTACACAATAATAAGAATCAAAGGTGAACAAAAGAAATGTGTTTGTCATGTCAATTGAAGTCAATGAGAGAGTGAGAGAAAAAAATATTGTTTGTTGTTGATATTTCTGCCTATTTGTAAAGTTAAATAATAAAAGCAAAAAGTACTGACCAGATAATGTGAAATATCAAATTATATGAAACTGAGGTGCACAAAAAAAAGCTAACACAAAATGAGCGTTAAGCTTATTATGAACAATGGATTATTTCAAGAGTTAAAATATTTGATACTTAAGATTCCCCAAGAATTCATTTTCACCTTCATCTTCGTAACAAAAAAAAGTGGACTCACATTAATATTTAAAGATGAAACATTCAGATGATCATTATTATGGCTTGATTGTTAACAACGATTTGTCAATCTTACTTACTGTATTTTTAAAATTTAAGCTATTTGTGTTTCTATAACAACTCTTAACGGTCAAATTAAGTCTGATTGATTGGCTGAAAAATTGTCTAACAAGATGTAAGATGGCGATGAAGCGCCAAAGTCAAAACACTTTGTTATTGATCCAAAAATTATATTTATCTTGAAATTAATGATTAAAAATGATATTTAAGCAAGTTTTGATTATCTTTATTATGTTTTGTGTCCTAATAATTTGCATTCCGGTCTAACCAAATAACATGGGATTGTTTGTTGCAAAGGCAACAATCGTACAGAAAAAAAAAGGTCAAGCTTTGACCTCAAAGTTAAAAGCTCATCTCCGGTTCTCAATCATTTTCACAACATAACACAATTGATATTTGCTGGTTGTTTATTGTGCATTATTCAGTGAAAATTATTTGACAGTTTAAATGAATTGAATGATATCATGTGAATCTCATTATGACATTGTGATAAAGCTCAAGTATTGATAAAAAATATGCATAAAATGAGCATTGAAGGACAAAATACCAAGAAAGTTGTCTATTAAATTGAACAATCAATATTGTTGTTTTATTTTCCCTTCAATGTGATTGATTACGTTACTCAATCAAACTCGATCAGCTTTGAGTCGTTTTACATTCAAGTTATAGAGGATTGATCAAATCTATTCAATATAAACAAGCAGACTATTGAATTTTACATGAAGAAAAAATATCAACAAGACCGAGATTGTCTTGAGACCAAAAAACACACTTTGTTTTACTAGATTATTGTCATTTTGCCGTTTAAGGCACTGATTAAAGGTAAACATTGATACTTACCGATGTAAGATGAAGGTTTAATCGGCAAAAATCCTGGTTTGTTGGTTAGCTTTATCCCTCGGATGAAGAGTTGTTGCATCGTTTCCCTTGATTCTTGGAAGGACAGATTTTTCCTAGTAACTAGTTTTTTTACATTTACTTTACACCATCATTTATCAACAATATAATCAATACCAGTTAATAGAAATGGCGTTAAACATTATTATTGAAAATAGAAATGTTAAAAGATGAAAGCCAGGTAAAAATCAGGTCGGAAGTCTTAAGATTGACTTGAGAAGAGTGAAAAATGGAAAGCAAAAGCGTATTTCAATGAAAAGTGTTTTTCGTGTCAATGATTGTTCATAATGAGATTGTATTAGACCAAAATACATTTACATGTAAGATTATATTGAAAGTGATTTGTATTAAAAATTGATTTAAATGGAGAAAGAAAGATGAATCAAGTTATAAATTTGGTGATAATGATCAAGAGATGTTCTGATAAACATAAACTGAATGGTAATAAGAGTGGGAAAAAAGGTGTGGATTGGTGTCAAACATTTAATTCCGATCGATTCAAATTGTAACATTCAATGTCCCAAATTGTTCAACTTGTTGCTATTCAATTGATTTAATACAGAGTAAAATCATTTAACATTAACATCCCTTTCACTTCAATTTAAATATGGAAATAATAGATATTTAAAAGTGGCGGCAGTACAAGTAACTTGATAATTAAACATTTTTGACACCAGATTGGGTTGAAAGAGTTTTAAAAATTTTCAATAATTTTTTCTTCTTTAGTTAAAGATTATGTTTGATGGACAAGTTGATTCTGGTGTAATTTATGGTTGATTAGACTGTTCAAAAGGACAGTCTGGTAAGTATTATCTATCAATATTTGGTGGCAATAGCGATGCTCTGATTGTCATTTTTGTCACTTAAAGAGACAATTTTTAAGCCCATTGGTGTCATTGATAGCTCCTTTAAGTGATTTAATCACTCTGTTTGGTGTAGTCCAGAAGAGTACAAAAAAAACAAATTGTTCTGTATTCTCATTTATAATGATATGTTGCTTTATAACGTTTAATCTTTCAAGTTAATCTGAATTCAACTCAACTCATTAATCTGTTGTTAACAGGATTGTACCTTTAGGCTATTGACCATCTATTGGTTGGCGTTTGGTAAAACCTTTGGTCTGTATTTAACTCACTCCTACCTAATAACAATGTCTTGTCCAGTTAATCCTAACAAGAAAGAGGTAAGTTCTAAGTAAAAGATACTTTACCCTTTACAATTCTTGCTCATCATTCCTTTTGATCAATTACAAAATGGTAACATTTCTAGCTTTCGATATTGTAACAATTTTGTCTCATTTTACAGATGAATCAACCCAATGAAAGGGATGAGTTTAAAGATGGGTCCAAAGGATAAATCCTAATATGACAACATTTAAGATGATGCCAATTCTGAAGTATGTTGAATGTCTTGTCTTGTATTATCATTATTTTGCAGACTCTATTGTGAATTGTCATTAATTTTGTCTTCTCCTTCTTTCTTCTCGGTATCATCTTTTGTATTCATCTTTGAAAGCATAAAAGCACCATTTCCCATTAACGGCCTTTAATGGAACCTGCTTTGTTCAAAATTCCTCATCATGTTGGTGCCTTGATGGTTATGACGATGATGAAGATTATTATTGGAATCACTGTGATCTTGATGATGTAGATGATGGTCCATTTATATGCTTTTATTGGAAGAAAAAGAAATCTCTTTTCATCAGACATTTTAAGATATCTTTACCTTTTCATCACTTCAATCAACTGACCATTGAAAAAATGGAAATATACAAAGCTTAAAAATGAACCGTTATCTTCTTAGTCAATCAGTTTTTTGTCAATTCATTGACTAAATCAGTGCAATATAATGAAATTACATTAGACTTTTCCTTTATCAATAGATTTCTTAATGTTACACTTAAACCATTAACCATTTAGACTCAGTAGTTGGCATTGAAATTTTTTATACCATTGACCAAATCAATTCATTAATGCATTGAAAACAAATCAACAACCAAATGTGTTAAATATATAGTAGTTTGAATCATAAATTGCTGGATTAATTCATTACTGAATTTTTCCAAAGGTCTAACAGAGACTTGGATATATTCAACTTGGTTGGCTTAACGATCCTTGTGAGCTTCACAAGCTTCAATAAAAAAAGCGCTCAAGTTAATCTCAATACAGTATTGTACAATTGTGGTTTACATTCAAATCTATGAGTTATTCAAATTGTTTCGCCGTCATGGATTTATCTTTACCAATCTAAATGATGATGACAAGAAGAAGATACCAAAGATGTGTACAACAAAAGGTTGACTTCCTTTTCATCTTTTTTTTCCTTATCATCATCAATGTTTTTTTGCATATTAACTTTCCATTTGATTTCAACTTCTTGAGTTTGAATTTCTTTTCGCTTCTTATGTTCTGCTTTTTATTACCTTTTTATAACTTTCCTTTTCATCATCGTCATCGGCATCTTCGTCGTCATCATCTTCTCCATCTTCATCTAGTTGACATCCAAGGGATAGAAAAAAATGTTTTCCAGTGACATTTCCTTTCTTTCTTGTGAACCAATTTGAAAAGAGACGAAATCAGCTTTGACTCTCAACATGATTCTCAATCAGTTTAACATGTTGATCAGAGTCATCCAATGTCAACCGATCCCTTTTGCTTTATCCTTTAACTGTTGATAGAAAGTTGATTGACAATAATTTTGATTATGGTTAAATAAGATGATTTTCCAGTTATTGTTGATCCACTTTGTTACTCTAGTCATTTTGGGTTTCCTTTTTTCTACTAATGTCTTTTTGTTCTTTACCTTGTTTCAATTTTCGAGTCCAATTCGTGAATTTTACGTTCCAGTTCCAGGAAACCAATCCTGTTCTGATTAGTAAACAAACTCATAATTTAGTTTCTATCAAAAAGCAAACAATAATTATAGGAATCACAGGTAAAAGGTCAATACAAAAAAAACACAAGCAAAAAAGTTAGGTAAACAAAATTATTGAGGAAACCGATTGCATTTCTAATGATTAAATAATGATTAGCTTGATACCATAACCTATCCCATGAATTGTGGAGCGAATTAATCCAAACGTTTCCCATAAAAATTGGTAAATAAGTTGATGATTGCGCCAAACCGTGATTATGTTACAATAATCTGAAAAATACAACAAAAAAATGTGAGAGTTGAGATTCCCTGATTGTAGCGTTATGGTACAAAAAATCTTGATTAGTATGCTTTTTATTTGATCAATTTTATGGTTAATTAGTGATTATTTCTCACGAGTCTGTATCTTCATTAATATAATGAAATCAATCTATCTTGAAGTAAATTGTGTGCTCCATCTATTTTAATAGTCCATTTGATAATACTAATACAATAGTTGGAGTTGTTGATGAATTTGATTCCCTCAATTTAGAGGATTAAGTATCACACGCTTGGTACCCAATTAACCCCAGCGAGACTAATTGTGTTGGCTTAGGTTAATCACGATGCACATTCAGAAATGCAGTTTAATACGATTCAATACAAACCAGATTTGACCTCTTTCCAATAATTTAAAAATGTTAACGATCGATTAAGCTTTGTTTTTTTTATCACAGGATTGGCGCCCTTTCATTTTGCCATTTTTGGCGATTCTTTGGCTTAATGGCTATTTGGTGACATCTTGATTATTTCCTTGAGCCCCTGAAGCCACGTGGAAGCTTTTATAGACACAATTGTTTTGTGGTTACCAATTGCTGTTTAATTTGTCTGATATCGACACGTTTATCCAGTTATAAAGTAAAAACCGCTACACGTGTCTTCTTATTGATCCTTTATTCTGTATCTTTGCTCCACTGAGTCAATCATTACCCAATTCAGGAAAAGCCGGTACTCAATTGATTGGTATCACATAACAATTATTTAAACTCACAAAATCACAAAAAGTCAAGTTGAAACTCGTGGCGTTAATCACAATAGCAAATTGTCTTGAAATCAACAGTAAAGGAGAAACAAGTGTTTACCGCTTGTAAACATAATCCAACCAATGAAATGCAACCGACTGAAAAAAGGCGCTCACATTGAAACTGAAAAATCAAACAAACTAGAAAAGCAATTTCAATCAAACTGATTATTTTACACAATTTTTTCCATCAATATTGACATTACCAAACAATTTTACCAAACATAATCAACATAATTAACCTTTATCCAAATTAATTCACTTTGTATAGACACAAAAGAAAGCTTAAAAGCATTGGAAGAAATGGAAAAAGAAAAATTGTTGAAACGGAAATATTGAAATATTCAATTCTTGCCTCCTCAGGAGAGTTTATTTCATCCCTTCCAATCCATATGGAGGTAACAGAATCCATTTCAATTTTTCATCATCAAATCTTAATAGTTTACAATTAAAGCCAAGCCCATTATAAAAACCCTTTTTGCTAACCAAATCAACCTTCAATCTGGTAAAAAAAGCCTAAGATTATCTGTTTGAATGCGAAGCCAAAAAGGGTTATCATCTTTAAAAATGACAGTCAAGCTAACCTTTAACAACCAAGGTAAACTTAATCAAGCATAATTTATTAACAATAACAAAAGACGAGCAATTTGAAAGGGTTAAAGCAAGAAAAAACGGAAATCACTAACAAAGTAAAGAGTTGAAAGGCACAGGTAAAGCAAAGAAGCACAAAAAAATTGTTTTTCATTGATACACAAATACACAACATAAGGAAACTCAGGGAATGAAATTTAAACATAATCATTGTTAACAACAAAAGCAAATTCAGCATTCAAATGAAATAAATGATAAGTAAAAATAATGAATGAAAAGTCAGCCCACCTTTTTTGATCCTTAAATCGTTTCTTCAATCAAATAATGATATTAAAGGAAATGATGTAAACGAGTAAAAATCTTACCTTTTGTAATACCTTTTAAGATGTTTAAGAGACAATAAAAGTAACGGTAATCTGACCTTGAGTCCACTTTGAATCACCCTTTTACACCAATTGTAAGAAAGTGAAATGATAATGAAAAGTATTGATCGGGTGAAAAAAGGTTGACTGTTGAAGGGACGGAGAGAGACTGTTGGCTTGACAAGATTCATATCTTTAAGGCTTAACCAGGCCTTTACTTAAATGATGAAAATAATGAAAGTAATGTTAATAATAATAATAATAATGATGATGAGGAGGATGAGAAGGATGAAGATGATATTAGAGAGTGAATATTGAATGACCACTTCAATGTATACGATTAGCTGATTTATGAAAAGCTAAATATTAAGATAAAAGTATTTCTCTTTTGTCATTGAAAGCCGTTTACGTGAGTTAACAATGAATAAGGTGCGCTGAGATGGCGGATCAAAGATGAAGGTGTTTAATGTTTAAACATTTAATGTTCTTGTCCTTGGTTGGGACCTGAAAAGGGTTACAATAATGGTACATTACTCTGTACTTATTACATGAGAAAATGTTGGCCCATCATTTGCTCTTAAACACAATATCGTACGCCTTCCAATTGTTGCTATAAAAAGCTATTCACCTGCTTCTAACCCAAAAAATAAAAGTACCGATTATGGTTCAGGTAAAGGTTTAATCCGCTTAAAATGTAATTAAAAGCAATGTTAATGTTTTTTTTCCCAATTTTTCCTCCTTTTCGCCATTTTTATGGCCCATTTTTGCCTTCCTTTTTGCTTTCCAGCGTAACATTGTAATGCTTTTTCCAGTGTATTTTCATGTAAATTTAAATTTGTAAATTTAAGACAAATCAAAGTGTGACCAAGTCCAATGCTTTTGTGATTTACTTTGCTTCTGTAAATGGTTCAGTTGAATGTAATTAAGTTAATTGTTGATCAATTGAAGGTGATGATGGAATGATATTGAAAGCATCTTTCTTTTTGTACCAACAAAAGGTGTTTATTAATGAAGCAAGAAAATGACCGAACATAATATTCATGATAAATTGAAAAGTATTCAGAGAAATTTAGTTCGTTTTTCTCTTCTTCTCTATTCTTCAATTTTACATGGAAAAGGTGTAAACTGAATTTGGTGTCTTCCATCTTTGTGTCTTGGTTTGCACAATGACGATTATGTCCAGTGTCCAGTCCATTAACAATGGACTTGGCAAGTTGCTGTAAACACACAAAAGCTGTAGACCTTACAAGGCAAAGAGAAGTAATAAAAGAGGTAAAAAAAAGGATAAACTTGAATAGGGTTTTGGGGCAACAAAAGGACACTTTTATGAACTTTCGTTGACAGTTAATAGTTTCAGTTTCAGGTTGAAGGTAAAGAAAGAAAATGTTGAAGGTAAGAAATTTGGTGAAAACAATGGTCAAGGAAAAGAAAGAAAAGTTGAGTTTATAAAAAGTTAAAAGACACAATACAGAGACTATAAAGTTGACCCTTTTCATCTTTTCAATCCTTTTCTTCTTCTTCTTCTTCTTCTTAGGAGTTACTTTTTATTATTATATTTACTTCTTACTGTTCATTGGGTTGGATTCAGTCTGTTTGACAAATTTCCGTTACACGGAAGAAAATGGACTTTCTTTTCATTCAAGCTTGGACATTGCAATTTCCAGGTCGATAATTCAGTACACTTTTTTGTCCACAATTGAAAGGCACAGAAATGAGCAACCAATGATGTGAAGGAAGATGGACAAGGAAAGATGAGGAGGAGGATGAAGAGGGTGGAGATGAATCCTGATCTTATTGTCACTCGATTCTGTGGAGAGAAAGGTGGAGTTTTAAAGGCGTTCAGTGTCACTCCAATGGATTTGGAAGACATTATTTTTCCGTCTTCCTTTCGCTTCTTCTTCATATTTTTGTTCAATTCCAACACTTTATTTCTTTAGATTTTCTGTAAAAATGAAAGTGCAACTTTGGCTTGTTTATATGGACTGCGAAAAGGTTCACGTTTTCAGGTCACAACAAAAAAAGAGCAACTTTCAGTTTCTTTATTATTAAACTTTCTCTTTTTGCTCTCTTTCTTGCGCTTGGACAAGATGGACACTGTTTAGGGCTTCTCTTTGGTCAACTCTTTTCTTTGGGTTAAAATGAAAAGTTATACTTTTCATCAAACATGTTTCTTTACATGTCAACTGTTCACACAGTTTTAACACTTTTATTGTCATATCTTTGAAACAAACATGAAACTGGAAATGAACAAAACTCAATATTAAGTTGACTTTATTCAGTTGTCGCTTTAAAGCCATTAGACATACAATGGGACAAAAAAATGCTTCCATTCAAGTCAAAGGTCAACTTGTAAATTCTGAATTCATTGATTCAAAGATGAACAGTTTCTCAAGCTCGTTTATGAAAGTCCAATCAAGTAATGAAAGCAATTTAGTTTCTTCAAAACATTTACTTTCCGTTGCAACTTCTCAATGACAAAATTTAAACGAAAAATATTGAAACTAAACCTTAACTTCGTCTGAAAGAAAAGGTGAAAAAATGAGTTTCTTTTAAAATTTACTTTACATTTTCTTGGAATTCAAATCTTTATTCAAAAAGCGCATAAAATTTAGAACCAAAAATAACCCAAAAAACCGAGAAAAAACGAAATGAATTGAATTGACTTTCACTCGACCTGAAAGTGACCAAAGACCAGATATCTCAACACGTTCATTAACTATTATTAACATTTTACTAGAAAAGACTTGAACAGTTGAAATGCCTGAATTCCTGGAAGACAATCCAACAAGTGACAATATTAACGCTAACAGTTTCTTTAGCAGTTTTGATTCTGATAAACATTGAATAACTTAAGAAATGGGCATTTCTCATTGCCCAAAGTTGACGACAAGATGAAAAGGCTCAAGTTTAGCCTAAAAATGAGGTTATCATTTGTTGTTTTGAAAACACAATTGATGAACAACCATTGGAAATGTAATATAACCATGATATTAATCTCTTTTTTTGTTCAACTCAACTCTCCTTTCAGATCACATAAGCACCCAATGCAAACATCCCAATGTCTTTAAGCGAGAAAATAAAAAACGTAAAAATAATAAAGGCAAACATTTCCAACTAAGACCTTCATCTTCGTCTTGTTATTTAATCACAAGATTTTCTTGTTCGCCATCTTCTTCTTGTTCAGACAAAGAAAAGGCCTGCGAAAGTAAAGCGCAACCCAAAATTGAATAAAAGCACTCCTTAAAAGTAAAGGTAAAAGCAGCAAAAAAAATCTTATCACAGAGTAAAGGTTGTAATATCAGAGTCTAGCCTGAAGCAAGACTAAAAAATAGTCTAAAGATGAATACAAGGAATAAGGATAATAAGTTGAAAAAAGAAGCATTTCTTAATCATTTTTACACAAGAAAAGGTTACGAAGGATAATCTTCATCTTCGCATCTTCATCTTTAAATCTTCAAACTTACCTTTTCTTCATTCCATGTTTATATACACCTTTAAGCAAATTGTTTTGACCAGCAAAATGATTTCACAGAAAAAATGGACTTTTCTTATAAATATCATTTTTCTTATCCAATATTTGTTTTGGTCTTCATAATATTTTCCAGTCTTTGTGTCCATCTTTTTTCCATCCTTAATCTTTTTCAATGAATTCTTGAACAGTTTTTCAGATCAGTTTTTACCTAGTTTATTGTCACCTTAATATTCACTCTTTAATCCTGATCTGACCATTGAAAAGCACCTAATCCATCTCAAGATTAACTCAATTAACATTCACTCTTCACTGGGAGTTTATGATAATAACGAGAAATGTGAAAATAAAAATGAGGAAAGAAAAAAGTAAATATGAAAATCTTTTAATCACAATAACATTGTTTGAATCGGTTTGTCAAATTATCATTATAATGCTTTTTGTTCACCAAGTAACTTGTATGTTTATTGAACCCAAGTAAAGCCGATTAATTGACAATTGAATTAATGAATGACAATCAACTGAAGATGCAAAAATGTTTCTCAAAACGTTGACATTAGAATGTCTTGAAGAAAAATTCATTTTTCCATCTCAACTTGTTCGTAAAGGAAACATTTGACAACTGAAGACACAATTGAAGCACAACTGATTGGCATTATTTCAAGTGTCCAGAGTTTCCTCGGTTCACTGGTCATTTGGATAACATTTTCTGACTTGCCTTGCTAATCAACGGCATCATTTACATGATGTAACAATCATCTGATTATCATGTTAACATGCTTCAATTGTTGGACCAATGTTAACAATGAAAAGTGTCTCTTGCTTGAAATCAATCATAATCCAGTTTATCATTTCTTTCACATTATTAAGGTTACATTTGTCCGTGTAAAATCGGTCAATTTGTTTTGTCTCCAAGATTCCATTTTCTTACCTTTGCATATCAACATTGAAGAGAAATTGAACAACTTTACCTGTAAAAATTGCAGGTAAAATTGGTACAAGTTTTGCGTATTTTCCATGTTTGTAATGTTCCTTCTATCATGTCTTTCATCCTCTTATCTTCCTATTTTTCATCTCATTTTTTCTCTTCTCTTCTTTTTCCACTCTTTTCTCGGCTTCTCTCGGGTGATTTATGTCTAACCATTTAGTCTGAAAGGTTATCCCAATCATCAAAAGGCTATTTTTATGGGTCAATATCTAATTTTTGATTCTTTTCTTTCCATTTCCATTTATCTTATTGTTGTATAATATTTCGGGAATTCAATTGCTTCCATAATATAAACATTGAGCAAAAGTTTGCTGTATTCATCAAAGAGCATTGTTGTTTAATTTATCAGCAATTAATTTTAAAGATAAATTGCTCTCATTCAAAATTGACCTTTTAATGTTTATTGCCAACAAAACTTGGAGTAAAAGTTATCAACAAAATTTACCTTTTTTAGTCATTTTCCTATTCACCTCGCATCAATACTCAATTTAACATTATTTATTAACAAATTATCAGTTTAATCAACATTTGATCAAAAAGGGAGAATCAAAGTTACAATTAATAAACTATCGAAACAGCAATTGCAGATTTTTAATATCAAAATAGAGAAGCGAATTTTGAAGTTTCAATTATTTTTATTGAAATAGCTTTGAGTTTATTTCGCTTGAAATTTATTGACGATTGTACAGCAAATAACCAGAAAGATTGAAAAGTTTAATTATAATGATGAGACTGACGATGCTGTGATTGTAAAACTAAAT